AACCTGAGCCTAAGGTCTTAAAATCCTGCTATGTAAAGCCAGGTCACGATGAACCTGAGCCTAAGGTCTTAAAATCCTACTATTTAAAACCAGGTCACGCCGAACCTGAACCTAAGGTCTTAAAATCCTACTATTTAAAACCAGGTCACGCCGAACCTGAACCTAAGGTCTTAAAATCCTACTATTTAAAACCAGGTCACGCCGAACCTGAACCTAAGGTCTTAAAATCCTACTATCTAAAATCAGGTCACGCTGAACCTGAACCTGAGATCTCGAAATCCTACTGTCTAAAAACAGAGCGCAACAGATCCGAACCTAAATCCGGATCACCACGAGTCCGAACATGAAGTCTAGAAACCTTCAAATGAGCCCAGGTCCTAACCAATCTGAGTCTAGAAACTCAGATACTTTAACGAAGTTTCTAAGACTTGAAAATATTCGAAGGAATTCAGATTCGTGATAAGCCGTTTCTGATGGCCACAAAGGCTACTTAAAAAAAATTTGGGTCATTAAAAGATTTTGGTCCAGTCATGGAACTCGAAATCTGATGATCTAAACAACCAAGCACAACTTGAAACAAAAGAATAAAACCAAAGGGCAAGACAAGGGTTAAAAGCCTCCTCAAGCCATTAACGGTTCAAAAGAAATCCTAACATCATTAAGGTTTAAAAGCCTCCTCAGGCTATAAGTTCCAGAAACTGAAGCAAAGGCCCGCAGGGCAAACGTCCTAAAAACAAGAAAAATAATCTAGAAGGAGGCCAGGTCCTCATTCTCCTTGACCACCGCTTCCAGAAACCTTCGACGCATCACGATCCTCTTCGGTTGCCTCGTCACCCGGGACGTCTTCATCCACCTCCTTACCAACACCCTCTGGGACCACATCAACTGGGACTAAGTCAGGGCCCATCAAACCTAAATTAGAACCATACTCTCCAGAAAAGGATGGATTAAACATATTAACCTCGAAAGTACCTGAGCTCACCGAGAGTTGAGGGAGAGGAAGTTTGCTGACCGAGAAGTCAGAGACCTGAGCTTTCTCGTAAGCAGAGATAGCCTCCGGCATCAAAGACACCAAGCGATTATACTCCTCTTCAGCACTCTGAATCTCATTTGATAGCAAGTCCTTCAAGAGCTCCGTATTAGCCTGAAGCTCTTGAGCGTAGATCTGGAGATCAACTTCATCTTTCTTTCTGGAGAACTTCTCCTTAACAGAGATCAAGATTTTATTGTAGGCGTCGATGACTTCCTTCTTTCCCCTCCTAACAGCAAGTTTAACTTCAGCCTCCTTGTTCTTCTGGCTGACTTGAGACGACGTGATCAAATCTTGGACATGTTGTTCTGCAATTTTTCGAGCACTCTCTAGCTCCGAAATCTTCCTGCTCTTCACCCTGACATCGATTTCCAAGCTCTCGATCTTCCCTTGTTGAGTATCAGACTTCAAGCCGAGCCTCCCAACTTCGGATTGGAGTCTCGAGACCTGAGCTCTGGCTTGATCACGCTCGACCTTGGTAGCTTTAACCATCTCGGTAACCTGGGCTAATTCTTCAGCATTAGGCGTGTTANGAAGGAGCCTCCCTGATTCTTCTCGCTTCCTCGCGAGGTACTGGCTGCTTTCGTGGGTCTACCCCTAGTTCGGAATGATGGTTGGAGAGGCATCTTGGCTGATTTGGTCTTCTCAGTTCCAGAAGTGCTAGCTTCCGTTGAAATCGATACCACTGAATTACCTTCGGAAACTGCATTACCGAATTCACTTTAGCATTCATCTATCCTAAAACGAACTCGTATACGTCAAATACATAAGAACAAACATAGTACCTTCTAAGTCTGTAACCGGTACAGGATCTAAGAAGGAAGCGTGATATCGGTCTGGAAACCTGGCTGATCCGATTCGCGAAGTGGTGTACGACGCCCAAGTACAGGGAGTCTGCTGCAGTTTTCGGAAAAGAGCTCTGGTAAGCTTGTTCGGGAGCTCTGCAGGGTCTTCGATATCTGCAAATATAAACGAACATCTGTTAGACTATAACCGATGAGAAATCAACAAACACATTCCTAACAGATCCTAACCGGACGCGTCAGACCACGATGCCCTAAGTCTACGACCCGCCGGGACCGTCAAAGGATCGATTTTGACGTAAAAATACTTCCTTCTCCAGTCATCGTCACTACTGGAAAATTTGAAAATACCCAGCCTGGGACGACAAGCAAGGTAGTAGGTCCCGCTACCACCATCCTTGGAAGCACTCTCCTTTATCGAAAACAGACTCATTAAGGAGCTTAACCCAGTAACAACTCCCTCCTCTTTGGATCTGGTGATAAAACCGTTTATCACTCGAATGACGGAGGGGCAAAGTTGGGAAAGGGCTAGTTGATAATGATCTAAGAGGTCTAACAGGAGGTCAGGAAGGGGAAACCTAAGATGGCTCTTGGAAATGTAGTTCTCGTGAACACAAAACCAACCCTCTGGAGCCATCTCGGGAGTCTCCTCGGGTTTACAAGCTCTGGCCAACTCTTTCTGACCTTGGGCTTGAACCATAAGGTTCACAATCTCTTGGCTCCTCAAAACAGAAGACAGGTGAGACCCGGAAGGTACGCTCCCACTAGAGCCTCCGGTCCTTTTTGTCCGTTTGGAAACTCTTTGGGCTATCGAATCCTTAGCCCTCTTCTTCCTCTCAGTCCTCCTCATGGATTCGCCAACTTCTTGTTTTACCTTCATAAGTTGAGCGCCTGAAGCAGAGATTCCTGTCTCTCCGGAACCTTCCTTCGGTCGGGTCATAGCGAAAACGATGAAGGAAATTGAAAAGAGATAAAAAGGGAAAAAGAAAGATCGAGCTAAATAGATCGAAACCTCTGGAGATAACAGTTTCGAGAGAAATAACTCGAAAGCTTAACAAAA